TTCTTAAGTTGACTGCAATGAACTATACTTCATTAAGTAATTACAACTACGCTGCAAAGCAGAGTTTTCCATCATGCACACTAAACACGCAATTCAGAGCTCAGACGAGCAGAACTATCTACATATCACAAGAGCCAGCATGCAACTGAATTAAATAGCTTCATTCCCGCCTCCCGGTGCATAATCTAGTGGAATGATCATTGTTGACGGTATCTGAGACCAACCAATCAACTATTATTTGTATATTTAGTGCAAGAGAATGATTAATTATGTTGTTTCTGATAGAGGTTTGAAATATTTTTGTATAAATCAAAATTCAAATGAATTATTTTGTTACTTTGACTTGGTTTATTCATAGGAAATATTCTAATGCTCATTTATGAAATGCTTTTAAAATAAATTGAATGATGTTTATATCTATAAGAGGGATTAAACAATTGCAAATCAATTTATTATCCTTTAAATAAAAATCTTTGCATCAAAACTCCTGGATGATGTATCTACCTCAATATTTGTACACCATTAATCAGCATTATAAAGAGCCAAATGTCAACCAATCATTGGACATAACTAGCTGATGGCCAACCAATCGTTCTACCCATTATGGCCAATAGAACCTAAATAAACTTGTTCTTCAAAAGGACAAAAAGCTTATATCAAGCTTACATGATAGACTGATAGTACAATAAATTTTGAAATCTTCTCCAGTCATGAGACTTGAATTCATACTCATAGGTGATCTTGAATTTGTGCATTGCGTTATGCAATTTGTAAAATTCTAAATTCTAAATGGGTAACAACTTTTTAAAATTAATTCTGAAAGCATAACGTCTATTGAATTTTAATACGGATCATTAATTTTATCATCATATTTCTAAAATTCAAGTATTGCATTTCTTTTAATTTAAAAACCTTCTTTTACATCAAAAACAATGAATTTTTTCTTACAGCTCCTATGATGATTGACAATTTCACTCATATAGCTAAAAATTTTAAATTGAATGATTTTGTCATTTCAAAGACTCCATTGATTACAGAACTTTAGTTTTTGCAAGTGTATTCAAGAACAGTTGGTTTCTGAAATAGTGGGGACCGGGGTTGGTGATTTTTTTATTTTTATTTTATATAAAAAATCAATGATTTTGTTATTTTTTCATTTTTTGATTTATTTATTTTTTTTATTTTTTCAGTTTTTTTGTCTATTTGAAAGGTTATTTTTTATGTTGCAATTAGCCTACTAACAATAACAGTATGTGGATCATTATGGATGCCTAAAAAGGGCACTTATTGCCTTCAAAAATGACCAACAGGCCAAGGTGGTGTTTACCACTTTGGGAATTTTGGGTAAACAATTATTGATATGTCTATTCATTAGCTTTGTAAAGTTTGTATGGAGCAAGGTAACAAGCTAAATATTGACCATTTAACTGGCTTCAATATACAAAAACACAAAAGGAATGCAGATCTTCTAAACATTGAAGAGTCACAACAGATACCGTACTGAGATAGGTAGCTGATAGTACAGTGCACAGCACTATCAATAGATCTACTGTCAATCGGGGCTACTCGGGATGGGCAGGGTAACTCGGGACAGTCCTCTGACACGGCATAAAACTGTTTTAGTAGCAAAACTAATTGGAATATTGCAAAACAAAATATAGTGGCGTAAACGTCAACATTTTTCCTATCTATGTAGTATAAAGGAAGTTCAAAAATACTACATTTACTAGCTTTGAAAAATTCCTGAAAAAAATGGTGAAAAACGATATTTTGAAGTTACTTCTGCTAAGGTCTGTATTAAAAAATATATTTGCCATATTAAAAAATTTTGCTTAGAAAAAAGTGGCAGACAAGTGTCAGCATGAAAACTTTATTTGCAAAATTTACATACCTCAATCCAAAAAAAATGGCGGCCATTTCCGCACGGCGGGGCTACTCGGGACACCCCCTGGGGCTATTCGGGACACCCCCAAAAATGCATTTACAGTAGAACCTCAGTTAGCAAAGGCTCCAGTTATGAAAAAATTGATTAAAAACAAAGAATATTGATTACATTTACCTTGCTCAGCAAAAAATTTCTCTTATCGAAAAATTAGTGCATCGTCGGTCATCACAAAATTGTGCATTGTCATATGTAGAATTGTGCACCAGGCATCATAGAATGAAAAGTAATTGACCTAAACTATGATTTATTTCTCCAAAAAGTATGATGGTTGTCACTAAAACATTCCTTTCTGTTTTAGGTATGTTTTTCACAATCTTTTTTTTATAGTAAATTCACTTAACCCAATTAAAATGGTGTGAAATTACAAGCTGTCCTGTAAGCTTACAGATACAGAAAAAGTGCTATAAGGCTGCTGATATGAAGCTTGCAGTGGACAAGGTAACTACCTTGTCCACTGCTCAATGGCCTGTTCATGGATACAGTATAGTATCGCATCAATAATAAGGTAATTAATTTATATGGTAATATCATATAATATGGTAATATAAGGAAAAACAAGTAAAATCACAGAAAATGTCATTTATTCTACCTCTACATCATCTACAATGAAAGAGGAGGACTTCAGAGTACTGTTAGTAATGGATGAGTACACTCTGCATGCTTCAGATGTTTTAAAATTAAGTTTTATTCCAAGTGTCCCATTTGACGGGGCTACTCAGGACACTCTTTTTTGGCTTCTGGCACCTTACAAATAGCATATGGAATTTTTTTGGAGAAGCCATGCGATAGCCCTTGGAAAGAGCTTTGAAATGAGCCTAAACTTGTTTATGAAATGTTTCATGGTAAGAAGTTATGAATGAAAAACGTTTGAAATTGTCCCGAGTAGCCCCGGTTGACGGTAGTATTATGTCCTATAAATCTACCAGACTCTACACTCGAAACACACCAACTAGTAGTGACTGAGTGACTGACTGCACTGTTTCCATTTATTTCAGACCAATAAACCAATACTAAACATAAACTGAAAGATAACCAAATAAACCTCAAATGACTTGAAACGAGACTTGAGTTAACATGTTTGAAATAAACATGTGCATAATTCAAACATTTTATTTCCATTCACTGCATTTAATTATTTTATATATAGTTTTATAATTGTAATTGTTTTGTTTCTAGTTTTAAATTCACATATTTAAAGATTGAAATTAAATATTTTAAATAGAATACTCGTATTAGGGTGGAAAATCTTTCTAAATGCCTAATAGGTCAATACAATCACAACCAACCCTTCTTATATGAGTTGACTAACACATGTAAATTGTACAATGTAATTAATATATAACTACAGCAATCCCTTGATTAGCACGGTTTTGAATACCGCGGTTTTGATTAACGCGGAAAAAAAATTTGCGACCTACCCTTAATCTACGCGGTGCCAGTTTTGATTAGCGTGACTTTTTTTTTCACAACGCATCATTTTCCCGCCTCTAGCCAGAGGTACGTTCGTAACAAAAGTGTTACTTTTTGCTTATTATATCTTATGTTGTTACTTTTGTTACGACTTTTGGAAAAATTTGCCAAATGTTGTTACTTTATGAATTTCAGCCAATAATTCTTTAAAGTCTAGCCGCAAGTGTGACGGTAGCGTCACATGTTGTGAACTCGTTCGAACAACGTTCGATGGAGTTAGGCGCGCCGCTACTGCCAGTACATACAACACAAAGACTGCTCATGATCTGAAAAGTAATTCAGATTGTTTTTCCACTTTCGAAACATAAATCAGTGATGAATAAGTGTGACGGTAGCGTCACATGTTGTGAACTCGTTCAAACGACGTTCGATGGAGTTAGGCGCGCCGCTACTGCCGGTACATACATCACAAAGACTGCTCGTGATCTGAAAAGTAATTCAGATTGTTTTTTCACTTTCGAAACATAATTCAGTGATGAATTTTAGTGGAAATATGATGAATTTTAGTGGGAAAAAAAATTATTATATAACTTTGCTATTTTTGAGGATTCATTATAATTATTCCCATATATTCTTAAGTTTGATTAGCGCTGTGGGGAAATAGCTAACAGTTCTTAGAGCATGCTTTCTAAATTTCAGAGAGCTCTGTCAATAGTTGCACAACATAGTGTCAAACCGCAGATTTTTTAGAATAGGTTCATTTTTTATCTCCTCATCTATTCAAGATTAAAGCCAATATCTTAGGTATGCAATTGCTGGTATCCATGATACTTCACTGGTATACATATAAGACTGAAAAATTAACTTGAGGAGAGGTCTAAAAAACTCTCTGCTTTGACCCTATGTTGCACAGTGATGGAAGTTTTTGATAAAAGTGTAGGTAGCTTAATATGGATGAACACATCTTATTTAAATGATTTCAAGCTGGAGATAAATGGGATCCAAGTTGTTTAATTTTTAAATTGTAATGGTAGGCACAAACTTACTGGTTTTGATATTCTGCTCTGGCAAAACTAATCTATTTGACAGGCATGTTATAAAAGGTGGAATTTCAGATATGATTTAAAAGAAAGGTAAAACAGCTTGTTCATGTATTTAAAATTGAATGAAAGTGAATGAAAACAAGGTATTGGTTCATAAAATCTTATATTGCACTGGAACATTTTGTATTCTGTGATCTTTGTGCAAGATGAAATTTATTGCTTTTGTTCTTGAACTAAAATGTGATTTGTATTGACATTTGTTTACTGACTAAGATTTCAGACATCATTATCAGCAGCTTAGGTAGTGGCTTCAATGCCATGCCAGAGCTATTGTTTGAAGCAAACTTTGGACAACTTCTTTGACTCTCATAATTATTATTATTATGATTAATTGACAATGTAATAATAATTATTATTGCCATAATTTGACATGATAATGGCCTTGATGAGTCATGCAAGCTACCTAGAATTTCAGAAAGTTGAAGGGTGAATGAGTCTTTGTTTACTCTTATAATAGATTGTTTTAATTTAGATCCTGTTTTGTTACCAAAATTGAATAGAATAATAATGCAAATTAATATTTAATGATTTATTTTGTTTTTCAGGCAGGTAAATTTTCCCCCAATGATTAGTATTGTAATTTTGTGATGACTACTAGAAGACGACGAGCTGGCTCAGACTCGACTCCAATTGACATTGGTGAATCTGAACATCAACAAGTGCAATCAGAGAAGCCTCCACCCAGTCAGCTTGTATCAAATCCTTTATTTGCATCTCCTGTCATCAACTCTCACATTCTGCCTGGCTACAATCAGGTAAATTTATGCATTCAAATGAATGTTTAAAATTCAACCAATTATTTTCTTTTCTCTGAAGTTTGGAACTAAATACCAAGTTATTTCTTTCACTATGATTTCTTCTGTTGAAATGAGGCTGAAAATGCCTTCCTATTATATTCAATGTTGGATCATATTTTGAATGATTACTGTATTTGAAAATGCCTGAAACAAATAAGGTTGTGATGAATTTTGCATTCACTGAAAGTAGCCAGAATTGTTACCAGATCCTAAATTCATTGCTGTATGAAGAGTAGGAGTAAAAAAAGTGTACCACTGAATATTACTGAGATATTTCAAAAGACGTAAAAGTATTTGGGAATGGCAAATGGTAATTTGGGATTAAAATCTCAGCAAATCTGAAGGGGGTTATGAATTAAGCTGGACTTATGTACTTTAGAATGATAGTATATACCGGTAAATGTATAATTTGTAAATGCAATATATATATATATATAGGTATATACCATTCCTGATAATTATTAAGTTGTATCTAAATTTGTGGTTATTTTCATTTCAGTTGCCACGATTACCATCTAATAGTTTTGTTGGACCAACCACAGCCTCCCAGCAAGAAGCTTATTACAAGAAAACAGACAATCCTGCTCTCTTCAATAAACCAGTCACTCCTAACATCTTCACACCACCAAGTGATCCAATTAACCCCAATCATCAAACAAAACCATCTTTTGTGAACAATTTCCAGGGTATTAGTCAAGGGATTTCCAATTATTTCAACCCTATTCCTAATCAATTCTTTCAACCTGCATCTACCTTTTCACATTCAACACAAAATCTAGAAAAAGATTATTGTGAACCTGGTGAACTTGACATCCCCAGTCTTGGAAGTCTCAACGGCATAGAAGGTATAGAAGATATCACAGTAATGGCGTTCAGAGACCGAACTGCTGAATTTGTCGGCATCATCAAGAAATCTCAACAGCAAGGGCCTCATGGCTACAGCAATGGAGTTATGAAAACACCTGCCAGCAGAGGGGCGAGAGATTTGTCACATTACAGCAGTTTTATGAAGCACTCAAGGTATTTGAAAGCTGAATATGTACCTACATGATTTTTATTGTTCTTTCTATGAAAGACTCCACATGCGAGGCAAGAGTTTTTGATATAAATTACATGAATCAGAATTTTCACTATAGAATTAATGGAAGTCTAATTATCTAACTTGCTAATTTTTTTCAAATTTTGGTCAAATTCAGAAGACACAGAAGTCTCATGCCCCCTAAAGAGTTAGGATACTATTCATAAATAATGCAGTAAGAATTTTGCCAATTATTCTTGTACCCATAAAGATAGTAGTTCATTAATTCCATTGAATAATTATTTGACTTCTGTTCAGCAAGGAGTACGTCTCTGTAACACATGTTCATCAAGTTATATTTGTCACTCGAGTCTTCAATCAGTTTTCTTTTTTTGGCAGGATGGTTGGTCGCAACATATCGAGCACCTATGCTAAACTTGAGAAGCTAACCTTGTGTGAGTTCCATGCAAGTTGAAGTCTTTTACATTATTTTTCTTATCACTTCTTCCAAAAATGTTTACTGTAGTGTGCAAATAAGGAAAAAGTATTGTGGTCTTTTTCATTTATGAAATATTATGCTGCACAGTAATAGTCTGTTATAGATCAATGAGATAGGTATTTTGTGATAGTCAATGATCACATAAAACTTTAGTGTTAAAATTTTTTGGAAAATACTTATAGATATACTAGGGCAGCCTATCAAAATTTTAGTCAGGAAATCTTGCTTGATCTTCATCAAATGAAGTAATTGTATTTTTTAAATTATTTCTTATAAATGTAGAAACATTTTAAATCTACCTACAGTGGCGAGGAAACGTTCTTTATTTGATGACAGCCAAGACATGGAAGTGCAAGAGCTCACAGCCATCATCAGACATGACCTCACATCTCTCACCAAGCAATTAGAGGACCTCAGAAGAAGCTCATCAGCTTCATCGGCGTCCAGCACCTCACACATGCAGAAGCATTCGGCCAATCTTGTCGGCTCTCTTCAAACCAAAGTCGCTACCATCACGCAGAAGTTCAGAGATGTCCTCGAAGTTAGAACTGAAGTAAGTAGCTTGGAGAAATAACATTCACTGATTGAAATAATAATGATCTCAATTAAAATGGGATTAAATTTCTTCAATTTTGTGAGCGCGCTCCAAGTGGAAGAAATGTTTTAAACATCATTGTTGATTTCATAATTTGATCTTGGTACACGGTTCTTTACGGTATCTAACAATGCAGTAGTTGAATTGCTTTTGTCTTCATTAATGTTCACAAGTCTTTAATCTACTGCCAATTTAAAATTAAAGGGTGAATCATACCGAACGGAATGTGTCCAGAAACTGTTTTTGGTCATTTACTGCTTCTATAAAATTTTCAAACTATTTATTGGAATTTGAATTTGTTAACAAGAAGACAAATGCACTTTACTTACGAGCCCACATTCCACAATTATCATGTGATAATACAATATTACTCCTGCTTTCGTTACAGTATGATCAAAAGGCTATATTCTCCATGTATGTATCTAGATTTAGAAGTTCATAGATGTAGATATAGGTTGATTGCTCATGATTGTATGTGATCTTTCAACCCCTAGAACTTGAAAAAGCAAGCGGAGCGTCGTGAGCAGTTCACGGGCGGGACGAGCAGCGGAGCCGTCATGGCTGCTGGCGGTCACCAGGCATCGGTGCTGCTGGCAGACGAGGCTAAAGCCACTGCCGCTGCAAGGAGAACTGCCAGCAAACCTAATGGTTGTTGCATTAAACTATTACCTTATGCAGAGTACCAGGACTAGAGGTTGTTCCATTAAACTATTTCTTTATGCAGAGTACCAGGACTAGAGGCTGGTCCATTAAACTATTGCCTTATGCAGAGTACCAGGGCTAGTGGCTGGTGCATTAAATTATTTATGCCGAGTAGCAGGGCTAGTGGTTGTTGCATTAAACTATTTCTTTATGCCGAGTACCAGGGCTAGTGGCTGATGCATTAAACTATTTCTTTATGAAGAGTACCAGGGCTAGTGGTTGGTGCATTAAACTATTTCTTTATGCCGAGTACCAGGGCTAGTGGTTGGTGCATTAAACTATTTATGCCGAGTACCAGGGCTAGTGGCTGGTGCATTAAACTATTTCTTTATGCCGAATACCAGGACTAATGGCTGGTGCATTAAACCTTTGCCTTGTCCTAATTGACGGGGTTATTTAATGCACCAACAATTAAATAATGCAGAATAGAAAAGTAGTTCCTTTTGTTAGAGGTTCGTTCATTAGGGCTAATTTTGAGCTTAATTATGATAAAGTCGATGTCTTGAAAAATATTCTTGCAGGATAAATTATTATTACATTTTAAACCTTGACTTTGAATTCTTAAATTTTGAAATTATCGATGGTTATGTAAGTTATAACCGTTCATTTATGAATAATTAATCAAATCCATAATACAGTTGTACTTCGTCGTCATGTCATTGTGAACTAATTTTGAAATTTCAGTGATCTGCCAAGATTGTTTCTGATACCAACTTAATTGGAATTTCAAGGATGTATTTCTAGACTTCGATGAACCTGCTTTCATGTTGACTAATTTTGAAATTTTAATGATATTCCAACATTGTTTATGTTGTTCAATGATATGCCACTGCTAACACAAACTCATCGCAATTTCAAGCAATGTTGCTGTATACTTCGATAAACTTGTCATTTCATCTGAGGCTAATTTTAAAATTCCAATGATTTGCCAACATTATTTTATTAAACGAATAAGTGGGAATTTCAGGCGATGTAGTTCTAGACTTCGATGGCGTAAGCGTTGCTCCAAGCAACAGTGGAGGGGCTTACCAGCAGCAGCTGGCGCTGATGGAGGAACAAGACTCGCTGCTGCAGTCCCGCGCTGAGACCATGAAGACCATCGAGTCAACCATCGTCGAGCTCGGCACGATGTTCACGCAGCTCGCTGCTATGGTCAAGGAGCAAGACGAACTTGTACATCGGTCAGTACATTACCTTTTTGCTTAGATATTGCTGTTTCAGTACCTTACCTTCTTTTTGCTTGGATATTGAAGCGGTTGTTAGATTTTGACATTACGGGTTTTTGTCTATATGCATAGAGTTAAATTATCAATATTGTAAAAAACCTTCTTTCCTCTAAATTAATATGTCAGAGTTTCAGTCTAGCATGGATATTCAGGTTAGCCGCTTGAAAAAGTAGCTTTAGTCGCTGTGTGATCTATCAACTCCCTATAGATAGGTTCAGCATAAGGCTCCTAAATTGTGCTTCTTTTAACTTTGTCATTTTTAGGTTTAGTAAAATAATATTTGTATGATTTTCTTATTGTACCGTAGTCCGTACTAATTTTGATAATGAAACGAGAAGGCAGAAGTCACCTGATAATTACTGCTTTTCCCATTACTTTTCATGGCTGCAGCTATCTCTCTTCTCACAATCAAGCAATTATGACTAATATATAAAAAGTTCACTTTTGGATAACAACTTAGTTCTCAATTTGTTATGGTACGTCTCTGAAATGATCAAAGTTTTCTTATAGGATTTTTCTCAATGCTGCAAAAAATGTGAATTTCAGAGCTATTCGTTCATATTTTCCTTGAATCCGTGGGCGGATTTCGGTACTAAGTTGTATATTGTGTGTGTTTTTCGTGCACAAATAAGACGATTAAGCTTTTTTCCAGAATCGATGCCAACGTCGACGATGCAGAGATGAACGTGGAGGCCGCGCATGCGGAACTGCTGAAATATTTCCGATCGGTCTCCTCCAACCGCTGGATGATGTTCAAAGTGTTCGGTATTGTCATCATCTTCTTCATCATTTTCGTTGTCTTCATGGCGTGAGTATCACAATCGATGGATGGTACCACGAAAATGCAAGTTTGTCATTGTTTATGACCACAGATCGAAATGTGAAGTGAACGATTGTTGACGAGTGAAAGGATCTTTCACGTGTAAAATTTTCCCTTTTTTAACGATTTTCCTTCGATTCGAGCCTTGCTTAATGACGGCATATTTTTATTTTTTTACATAGCTATGAATATTAATTTATTTATATTTAGTTATTTATATTTCCCCTGGAATCAATTATTTTGAGAAATAGTACATTTCTTCATTTAAATATAACCTCATACTGAACGTTTGATATCGTATCTATGGATCGATAATATTTCTTTACTTCTTGCTTGCCTTATCTCCGATTTCCATTTAGAATTTATTTTGTGTGCCCCGCTTCATTAGAACGGTAGTAGCCAGCGAATCGAATTGGACATAGATGAAGTCAAGTCTTCTGAACACCCTCATTTCGAGTATTTAATATATTTAAAGTTATGATTTATTTCGTCAAAATTCCTTCAAATTACGCAGATGATCAAGTCTATACAATTCATGTCACCGTAGAAATTTATCAGAGTAAGCAGTGAATATAATTGGCTTGTTTTTACCAAATTTTACATAACTGGGCCTATAATTTCAAAATTCGCTAAGTGAACGTAGGTAATTATGCTCTATTTTCTTGTCTATGATTGGTGGATTTTGCTTGAAAGGCCGTCAATGATTGGCTGATGAACATACGATCTCTTAATTTTTTTGGAATGTATAGGCCCTGTTCTGTGTAAAAACTCAAACGTCCGAATACGAAGTGACTGCTCACACTTTAACATTTCAATTTTTTATGTATTACAAAGGCACACTTTGTTATACGATTTCATGTCTCGAAGGGAAACTGTGTATATTGTTCATCGCTTCATACAATTGATAATTTAACGAGTACTGTACAGCTTTCAAAGAGATATAATAAGCTTATTATGTGTTGAATAACTTTTGTACATGTGTACAGCATTCCACCTAGTATGCCTAAGTTGGGAAATGAGGTGATTATGAACTGATGATATTGAGTTGCTGTAGACGCTATTGGGCTGACGTAAATGCAGCTGCTCTTCTAACATTGTACACGTTATATATTCGAAGTTTAATATACAGTTTCCAAGGCTTGCTGTTCACTCTCATGAAACTTTGAAAATATACGTAATGTTGATGCATTAACTAACGTGCCAGATATAGGATGGCATGATGATGATTTGCGAAGCAGTGTTGTGGCCGCATCTTAATATTTTGAGCTATAGTCTGAATGCGCATCTACCTTCCTGAACCAATTTATAGCTTGCTCAATACAGTGTTATTCATCATTTCCGTAACTTTGCCTGCACTCTAAAAATGTATTGTCTATCTGCAACATGTGGTATGCTTAGGGCTTAAAGATTTCTATTCTCATTATATAGCTCCAACAATAATGATGAATCAAAAACGATGGGTTTTTAAAGTTTTATATCTGAAACGCAATATCCACTAATTACAAAAGCAACCTAATAGGATGAAACTTTATTCCTTTTCTAAATTTCTAAATATTTCAAACAAGTCATCCTATTACTTCATCAAAAAGACGTTGTTGAGCAACGACTAACGGCGCATTAAATAAATTTTATTTTTAATTTGAGGAAATTAGCTTGAATGAAGAATAATTATTTTACAAATTTCGCAAATTGAATTCAACGAAATACTTTTTATGTATAATAACCCATTGATAAACAGCGAGCTAACAACAAGCAAAAGGCAATATTTCATAATTGATCAACAAAATCTGAAATTCAATAGTATACCGATATTCCTTTCAGATTATTTAAGAAATTTTCAATACCATTAGCGTATACTCAATTGGACGACTTATTTCTATTTGTATTAATTCATAGAGAACAGTGAGTTAACAGCAAGCAGGAGACATCTTCATAATGCATCTACAAAATGTAACATTTTCATTCTGCAAAAAAATGTTCCGTTCAGACTACTCGAAAAAAGTCAGTATCACTAGCGTAACAAATGAAATCTATAAGAAGAGACAAGTAAGTTACGACAACATTCAATTGGATTGACTCGCAATGCAGCGACTCTGCTGTAGGCGAAAATCTCCTGATGAACTGAAGCTAACAATAAGATACAACACAAAAGTTAATGTCGATAGCTAACGTACCAGCCTGTGCCTACCATGAGTTTTGAATACAGATCAATATCTATTAATATCCATTTTGGAATTTCAGAGAAGAAAGAGAACTAAAAATTAATACTCACGTCTATATGTAAAAGAAGCGAGTACGAACAATACGTTCGCGTCAAAAGAATAACGTCAAAACGTTCGCGAGCTCAGAAGAAAAAGCGTCGGCAGTTGGCTGCTCCACAGTGGCATTCTGTGGTGCCATTGGCAGAACCACGTTTAGGAGTCTTGGGCGTGGCCACATCCCGGGGACCGATCTCTCTAGGTCCTGGTGTCACGCAGGGGGAGGCCAGCAGGGAGCCATCTGACAAGTAAACCAACGTAAGAAAAAAATATAACTCAGTACTCACTGCAGTGAGTGACAGAGAGCGCATTTTCTCGTTGACGAAAACGTTTAGTCACAGACGGACATGGCGAGCACAATAGAGCTTTTGTTCATAAATGAGAAAATGCGCTAAAAACTGGATTTCACATTAATGTGCCGTGATCATAGCGTTATCTTAGTTCAAGTGTAAAATAATATGACCATAAGAAAAAAACGATGGATACAGAAATGGCGGAATCGAGATGACTTCAATTTCGTTCTGGTAAATATGTAGCATTGCAAATAGCAGGTAATCTAATGCAGTAAACAAGACTAAGACGGCTTCATAGGATGAAAGACAAGTTATAATGCAAAAATCATCACACACTAACTATACTCCTGTCGACTAACCGTCATTTATTGCGGCAGTGTCTTGTGATCTGGAAGACGGTGAGTTGTAGTCAAATGTGATTTCCTCGCCCTTTTTTATATCTCGAACGGCGAAGAGTGCAAGCTTGGGCAGGTCAGGGTCGAGGCAGTTGATCCATACGTTATACACAACAAGATTTGGATCGCACTGCACCAGAGTAAAAAAAAAACACTACTTAAATGTGCATTCTTTCAAATAATACGGAAGGAAGATATCACGAGACGACTTAATTGTACAATCTTTCAAATAATACGGAAGGAAGATATCACGAGACGATTTAATTGTACAATCTTTCAAATAATACGGAAGCAGGATATCATGAGGTTATTACAATTATCGTGCTACAGTAAAATGATGGACCTAGTTCGTGACTCAATATATCATATGAACACTACAAACTTCAACTTGCAAGTTGCTTCTATACGTTGTGCCAGCAGTTCTGTGATTCAAAGCAAATTACAAAACAAAGAAACAATTATTATCTAGCATTACTTGAATATTATCTGATATAAGAGTAATCACTCAAGAACTGTCTAGAAAATTAAGCTGTAGCAGTTTGGCAAACACGAGGTGTAGCATGCGGGGGAAAAATGTAGAGTATTTCATATTTCAGAGTAAAGAAGGAATTTGAATAAAGCAAACACAGTGGAGTCACTCTTACATTAGGATGCTTGCAAGGCATGGGGGCCAACGAGAGACTTTTTTTGTGAGCCTACATTACTGAGTTCTATAAGTAGATTCGTACGTGTCATGGACACCAGCATTAACATACGTACGATGTTGAATGAAATCTTGCAGTATATTGGGAAATTAGAAATGAACTGATTTTTAAAATAAAAAAATTCATATTTGCTACTATGTTGTGCGGTATGTCAGCAATGCGCACGCGATATGGAAAGCAGGAAAGCTGACAAACCAAGAATACTTAACTGCGCAGTTATTGCTGAGCAAAAATACTTCTTGGAGGATAAAATCTTAGCTTATTGGCGCGCGCAAAGACACGCAACAAAATACATTGGTCTGCGGGACTCGAAAATGGAACCACTGACTGAATGACTTATTGGCAATTTAAACGAGTAAAATAATAAGAAATAAGGCGTCCATTCAAGCGCGGATTGACATGACAAAAACTTCCATGGTGTATATCTAACGTCCCAAATATTTTACTATCATGTTAGACAAATTAACATAAGGCGTTCTAATAAACATCAATTGTAAAATGAAAACATCTCATCCAAAACTAACCGAATGATTGATGAAGTGAGAGACGTTGCCACATCGCGCAGCATCAACGGTGTACGGGTTCAAATCGCCTTTGTTGTAGTCCAAGTCGAACAGATACGTGCATCCTCGGGCGTCTGTACCAGGAACAGAAATATCGTCGTATGAGAAAAGTCTGTAAACTTCAATTACTACAAATTCCAAGTCCAAATTATAAACATAAATAGTTAAGATAAATTATATTCCTAGAAAATGCGTGGCTGTCCGGAATTAGCGAGCGTTTAAAATTATTGACCAAATCTAACTTCTCGATTGGAAATCATCTATGCGTATTTTGCCTGACTTTGTTATAACTTCAAACCTTTTAAAATCATCGTCGTGAAAACTAAATGACACTCATCATCAACATTACTGTAAACTCACCATAAACGCGTCCTCGTCGCTCTGCCTCCTCAGAGCTTATCACTTCTCCAACATATTCGGTGACGAAGGATCCTGACCTGATGAACTCCCCTGCCTTCACGCCCCAGCCTCGGTTCAGAGTGCGGAAGATGGTGAGCTGGAGAGTGCGGCCTTTTTGCACCACGCGGTTCTGGCAATCGTTGGTACATTTGCAATGCTTATTGCATTCATATATTGCCGTTCCAAGAGAAACCTGGGAACAAAATAGAAAGCGTCAAGCCTGGTACAAAAATACGAGTCAGGTGATTCCTGCACAAAAAAAAAAAAGCGACTAGCGTCTAGACTATAGCAATTTTGATTGGGTGGTGTGATCTGAAACCTCAGCATAAGATACGTGAGGCCTGTTTCAATAATTACAGAATTACAATTAATAGCTCCACCTATAATCACAGACTACTTAAGTGTTGACGGCACATTACTGTGAAACATACTACATTAAAACACCTCTACAGCCGCATTGATCACCAGGCCTTGATAATGTAAAATGAGGGGGGCTTTGGCCAGATATTACACATGCAAATAAGTACACATGCTGATAGAGGTGCCAACCGCACACTGCTCTTAGTCAAATGCGAGAGGATTTTCAATGTGTGTACAGATGTAGCACCTGTAGAATGAATGAAATATTATCATACTAATCGTACAATACAAATTAAGATAATGTTGATATCACGTACAATATACAAGGAAATATTACAAATCAGAAGAATAATTTAGGAGCTGTTTAAGGTGTTGCCCAAAACGTTGGTGGATAAGGCTGGAGTGAGGTGACAGTTAACAGAACTAAAAAAAAAAAAATCAATTTAGAAGTAGTTCGGATGGTTTATAAAAGGTTTGATATTTTCGAAAAATTAAGAAAAAGTTAATAATTTAGCTGCTTATAGCAAAGTTGAACATTGGATTTCCCTACAAACTTAATGAGGAACCTTAAGGCGTCCATGCTTGGTGTAGGCGAAGTGGGAGCCCATTTGCTTGGCGCAGCAAGAGTTCTGGGAGCTGCCGCAGTCGGTGCATTCACAGCCACACACCGGATCTTGCGGGATGTTGATGCCTTTACTTGCCTGCAAAAAAACGGGACTTTTTCGCTCTAAAAACATATTAATAATCAGGAACATAGCATACTCGGGAATTTATTAATTTGTTATACACGGTTACAGGCATAAGCGATCAATTGGACTGTAACATACATGAAATGTTAAGGAATTAGAAGCAAATAGTGCTGATTTGTAGGTTGCAACAAATTTCATCTACAGTTGATTAGGAGTGTTGAGCGTTTGCAGTTACGTAATACTTTGAAAGTTTGGCTAAAAATTGCAATCCTATTACCTATTAACTTAGTTTATCTTACTGTTATCTCTGAAATTCTATATTAAATCAGAGAAGTCAAGAATATGTCAAGCACAATAATCTGTCAACGTAAGAAATCACTGAGCAACTGCAGACAAACTACTCTCAGCAAACTGAATGATGAACTCGAAAAAGTACATCTTGTATATGTATTATATTTATACTTATTTATCGTCAGCATAAAATAATTTGACATTAATTGTGTTAGTATACACCTTTATGGCAAGTATACACATATGGCAAGATCGCTGACCTCCAGCACTTCCCGAATGATAGATAACACAAGAATCCTACCCTAGATGAACATTACTCACGACGTAGTCATTAACGTAAATGAAGTCATCAGGCGGGAGTGAGAGATCTACGTCATTGACAACACCCAGAGGCGCAGGGTCGGAACAGACGCGGCTCATATTTCTCTCCCAGCGTCTGAGCTCCGCGCACTGTCGGTCTCGCTGCTGCTTGCACTCTCTCAGCACGAGTTGATGCTTAAGCTCCTCGAACGCCTTGAGGTATTTCTCGCTCGTGCACTGCAATCAAACTTTAAATTGACGAATCTAATTTTCTTTCAGTTTTATAGCCTTCACCTGTTTCATCTTAGCTTTCACAAAGTTAATATATTTGAACATGTGATAAAATAAATTGCCTATCTATTTAAAATCTATAGATTGCTACATGTATGATTATTAGAAAATGCATTATTATATCTTTTTTTCTATGGATATGAACTATCTTGTTTAGCCCTCTGATCATTATACGTAGAGATCTGACCGCAGCATTTCTAAGTCCTATAGGCTTACACAATAAACCTATTCATGTAATCAACAAAAAAATTCATATCATAAAGATACTTTATTGAGTTCACGGTTATTAAATAAAATTGCATAAATATTCACGTTAGATAGTAGGGCTCAACTGTACAGTTAACTTAAACACTCATAAATTGTAAATAAAAAATTCATTAAAAACACATTGAATACAGAACTTTAACAGTTATAATTTTAAATCTACCACATTAGCATAGAGGACTGAACAAGTTGCGGAGAAAAGTGCTAAGAATATTATCAGTGCTTTAAACAAATAAGCAATCTGCCACTAACATCTTTGATGGAGACCAGTTTTTCAACGTCTTCTTCCAATTCACTCATTTCCTTGATTTTACATCTGCCAGCGATGACAAGAGGAAGGGCCGCCAGAACGTCAGCTTGCGCAGGCGCGGTAAGCTGGGCGAAAAAAGCCATCTTCAGAAGAGGCTTCAGAGATTCCTCGCAGGGCAGCAAGGTTGTTTTGAGTCTGAAAATTGAGTCAAATAATCAAAGCTGACTTGAAAAGCCTGAACACTATGCCAAGCTGTCAATTTTATTGGAGAGTCAGTAACAGATTGTCAGAGCAGTGTACTCTTGAAAAAATTGCATGGTATGACTTTCAATTCCTCATTTTTACCCAAAGAAATTAACAAAGAAATCGGAAAATAGTTGGGAATGTACTACAAACAAAATTATTAGAATTAGCAACGCCGAGAAAACAGTCCTAAATAATTAGGCATGGCAATAGAGATGGGAACAATTTTTACATACTCTAAGTAGCAATGTACAAACGCACTCTTCAGGATCCGTGATGCGGCTTCTTTCAACCATCCTGGATCTGATGAATGACAGCAAAATTTCCTCACAACCTGTGAGGTTCTCTAAAGGCTCCCAAGTGTCATCACTGCTGCCGTATCCTTTCCAGCGCACCTGGTAACGGCATTTCCCCTGCACAAAATCAGGAAAATATCACAATCAACTCATGCTTCAAACAGTCACAAACAGTCAATTTCTTGAATAAATATGCATAAATAACCAAGCCTAAAAAATGATTAAAATTAGCTTTGAGCTGCACAAATATTGCAAGATAAAATTCAAAACATATAAGATAAAGTAAATATAAATGTTGCCAGCAACAGAATATTAGTACAGATTTTACTAAAAACATCAATTGTAAGAAAAATCAATTATAAGATAGCTCAGAATACATTAATAACCGAGTGCAGATGGTCTGCCTACCTTGATTCGGTCATAATCAATAATTTTTTCAACTTCAAATTCCTCATCTTTCTTCTCTGTCTCCTCATTTTCTTCACTTTTCTTTCCCTCACTTTCATTTCTCACACCACTCCTTCCACCTCCTCTGCCAAAGAGGCTCCTACGAGTCTTGCGTGGGCGCTGATGGCTTGGGCCATCAAGGCTGTGTTGGCGCTTCCTCTTCCATGATTTCCTTTGTGAGTTGCTGCTACTGGCACTGTCCATATTTTCCTTTACAAATGACTGTTTAGAAGAAACAATTAACTAGTTAAAAGTTAGACGACATCAAGAATTGCACAAAATGTAAATAATACAAAATATTTCTCACAATAATAATGTTTATAGGGTTAGGATCCTCATGCTGGCTTATAAATTTTTGACTCGTGTGTGGCTTAGGTGTAAACAATTACTATTTTAACCCTTTAGCGGGCAAGCATTGAAATATCCATAATTTAAAATTTCAGAAACCATTTCAAGAAAGTAAGAAGTATTATACAATATATTTATTTCTATGAATTTTTGCAAATTTTGCCTATTGAAGGTTTAAATCGCACTTGAAGAATTCAATAAATGCGATCAGTACAAAAAAAAATTTCTTTATAATTAAAATTCAGTTTATGCAAATGAAAAGTTAGAAACATAAAAATTTAATTTAATTAAATTTAATCAAGTTGCCAAATAAATAAATATATATATTGATACTTCCAAATTTTGAAGAAAATGCGGAAAGAGCGTCAGTTCCATTGTCCGAGTCAAAACCTTCATTTAAATGCTCATCTTTCAATTTGTGGACTTTGCAGCTGGTGATGCTATAGATAGAACGATGGTCAGATAATTAGTGATTGACTGAGGCATTATAAGGATGCCTCAAAAACAAACAGGAAGCCGTGATGAGGCTTTTTGTGACGCGATTTCAAGTGATCATATATAGTAACTTACCCGTGAAAGGGTTAATACTATGACTAAAATATCTGATGTACCACATGATTGTTGCTACTCATTACAAAATTTTCATGGTCAACTTACCTTCACCTGGCACTGAAGATCCTTTGTGATGTGTTTTTTGAAGTAATTACAGTGGTTTACATATTCAAGAGTAGCACATTAGAGACCAGCATGTATATATGTACTCAGTCAAAAAATGAAGTGTCATGTGGCTAACTTGAGTTCCATAGAATACCTGAGGAGGAGCCAAAGAATGTGAGAGCTGTTTGTTGCTGCTGCTGGAGTCGTCAAGTCCAAGATCGTTGCCAGCATCAGATATTGGGGGTGTGGTATCCATTATCTCGCCATCTAATAAAACAAAACTATTTTGATTGCCTGCATGTGCAAAAATTATACATTTTTTGATTTTGTTATATTGAACAAAACTAATAAAGGCATATTGTAAACAGAGCCATCAGAAACATTCTTTCTGACAGCTATAAATTCTGTCGCATTGCACAAGACCCAACAAAACAACTGCAAAGGAAATCTAACAAACTCATTAGTAGGACCATCTCCATTATAGAATCTAGAAAGCTCACACCTATTGTTGGGAATTACTCTCCCAGTTACCTCTACAGAAACATTGAAAACCACAAGTAAGGCAATCTGCTCTGATCCAATATTTCTCAAGTCGCGTGCCCAATCTAAAAAACATCCAAAGACCAGGATACCACAATTAAACCATACATTCCAGAGCAATTCTCCGTGAAATCTAGAGAAAGCTTTTTAGAAATCCTTTCCGCTGAATGCCTATCAGGCCTTTAGGTGGCACATGATGTCATCAGCCTCTTCACCAGTTTCCAACTGTACAAACATTAGACATCATTGCAAGGCACTTAAGTGCTTTCTCATCCAACTTTGCTGACTCCACCAATAACTAAGAAAATTCTCATCAACCTCCATCAACTCTGCACTTCCAAATCACCTTTCTGGACTGCCAGCAACAAAATTTATTTATTCACAAACCAATGGTGTGGCCATGGCCAGTCTTCTTGGTCCTAATTTTGCTGAGTACCATATGCGCGAAATTTAAAATCAAGTACTTTCAGATGAATGGATCAAGCACAAATTGTATTGCAGGTATGTTAATGATATCTTTGTTGTTGTTTGAGATGAATAACAAATGAAGAATCAACAAATGGCCATTGAAATGAATTCTGACATAAAGTTTACTTACAAACTCAGACAAAATCATACTTTGCCTTTATTAGATAATTTCATCCAAGCCAAAATTAATTTGTTCATCACAAAAGTATACTGGAAAACGACAGATGTTGGGAGAGTCCTGAATGCCATCAGCAAATGCCCAGAGCACTACACTACAAAATAATACTTTGCCTTAATTATATTAAATATTTTCATTATATTAAATATTTTCATTATATTTAATACAAAAGAAGCACAATACATGCTCTCAAAACCTCCTCTTCTGAAAATACTGATCTATTATAAAAACAAGAAAATACAGAATCTTGTAATGAACAATAACCCCTGCAAAAAAACTACAGTTTTCCAAGAGACCAAAGTAGTCTAAAAATTTTCCTGCAATAGAGAAGGTTGTAGACTTCTCTGAAATATGGACTACATCAGGCTCACAACTAAGACATTAAGCTGACGTCTCATGTGCCACCTTCAGTCTCGTGGACCAAGGAACCACCTGATGGAAGCCTTCAATGAGACCATTGCTGGTACAGTACGGTAATGGAAGTATGCACCAACATTGTCACACAGTGCCCCAATGCCTACCGATTCATGATAACTGAGGACCTCATCATTATGGATGGGACTCCAGTCATCAACCTTCAAACTACTGGATTTTTCAAAACCCCATGACTTTTTGGAGAAATTTTTGGCACTTTAATTCTTGACCATCTTCACATTTGTGTAATTTTGCATTTCTAAACAAATTATGATTATTTAATAGTATCCTATTTACAGGATTTTGTACTTATGTCAATCCAAATTTCACAACTCAATGCATCTTGTTAATTGATTATGAATGGTCAATACATTTGAAACATTGTTAATGTATTAAAAATGTATATCATTACCCTGATTTTCAATCTACCATTGCAAACAAAAAAATATTGTTCAATATATTGTCAGAAGAAGAAGAAAATTGTCAGTAAAACTAATTCTCTGGTCTTCAATGAAACATGCTTATTAAATTATGCAAGTTTGATTGAAGACCAGAGCATGTTTTTTATTAATAATCTTCTTATTCATCTTTTCAATGACTGGAACTAAATTTCTAGCTGGCGCCTGTAGATCAAACAGTAGGTTACCAAAAGACATTTTAATAGAATGAGATGTTTCAAAAATTCAATTTTCATTTATCAAGCAGGTGAAGGTTTTGCAACACTTGAAATTAAACTTTGGAAATGACAGAAGTACAAATCAATGGTATAGTGGATACAACTTAAAATTACTCTGAAAATAATTTTAGCATCCGGACAAATTAAATTAAATTATACATACGTATCCAGGCAAAGTGCCAAGAGAAACAGAATGCAACATTTTCTTATGAAATAAATTAACCATGATACCCTATAAAAACTAAGGGAAAAAATGATGCAGCTACATTGAAAAATATCACAGACTGACACTTAGCATTAATCTTATATTGAGAGCACAAATTCTAAATGAATTCAAATAACTGTTTCAAACTTACCAGTAGGTTGCACTGCAGGGAAATGCTTTGCCAATTTCTTGTATGCACTTTCAATCTGGAAATAAAAAACTGAACTTCATCAACAGCAGAATGCATATAAAATTACTGTGTGCTAATGCTTGCATGGCATCAGTCATAATGAATAAACAGTATACATAATCTATTAATTTCAGTATGCATGAAGCATTTTCCATAACCAGAAGCTCAAGTGCTGTTCATGAAAGAAATTCTAATATAAATACATTAGCCAGGTTCTGTGATTTGCAAGCAATTAGTGTATTAGATTTTTTTAATTAAATCAATATCAAGACATTTATACCATGCTTATTTTGTATAAATCAATTCAAACAACAAAAATTGATAAAGACAATTATTGAAATGCACAAGAGTTATGATTATCTTGAACTAGATTACCTTTATTTGCAATAGCAATGAAACAAAGAAATTCCCTCTCACAGAGCTAGTTTTTGTAGACCACCTTATAAAATGTTTTTCTGATTCCTAGAACTGGCCATGCTAAAAATTTTCAATATACAAAATTTTTCGTCAGTGTCTAATATTTTACTTGAAACAAATTTCCATTCAGTTGAATAACTAAATTCTGAGAACAATTTCTTCAGGACAATCCATCACCATTTTCCCTATATTTCCTGAAACAGGAGTAAATATATTTCCAGGTATCTGGAAAATAAGTTGAATCATTTTAGATTTTTTACCACTTAAAAACAAAGTTTTTCCTCTGATTCCTCCGTATGACTTTATAAACTCCAAAACTCTAATCAAATATGTTCATGCCAAGATTTTTGTCAACTGTACTTGCTTTTAGAAATTGCACCTCCAAAGAATCTGGCCTGATAAAATAATTGGAGTTCAAAGAATCTTGTAGTTATTGATAAAGTTTAGCCACAACCAATAGTAAAATATTAAAAATGGTTATAAAAATATGTGGGGGGGAAAATACTTGAATACTTGAATTAGTTTATGAATTATTCACTAATATATTTTCCACTGAAAAACTATTATTACATTCTTCTGCAATGCTCACCTCATTCAGAGCCAACCCTGCATCTCTGATGAATACTCCATCAGGCTTGAAAAACGTTTTTGCTTTATGATTTTCAAAGGCCACTTTCAGCTTCTGAAGTGCAATCATTCCTTCTAAATACCCAGCATGTAATTCACCTCTACTCTGAAAAAAAAAAAAGAAAACAATCATGAGTAACAAAATGCAGTATATATATGAATATGATACATATTTATTATTTTTAGACTTGAGACATGGAATTTTAAAATTAATCACACAGAATAAACAAGGTAAATTACATTATGATTATCATCAAAATTGAGACTGCACAATTCTAAATTGTAAGCAGGGTGCAGAACTAGAGCTTTTAATCCATTCCCACCAAGGAAAAAAAATGTTGGATTCAAGAATAAATGACATCATTTATTCTTGAGGATGTATTTCTGGGCATAAATAAAATCTTTGGGTTTTATTATGAGAGATATAAGCTAGCACCAAATGTTACCACTAGGATGATAGGAGTACAAAATTTGACTGATTTGGTGTATTAATTATCGAGTTAATGAACAAACTTAGTCAGGCATTTGTTCCCAATGAGGCTCAGCTTCATTTAAATCAAGCAAAATACCATATATCTCAGAAATAAATCATTGCAAATGATAAGGAAGGAAGCAATGCATGCATGAATTACAGCTGAATAAGCAGTATTTTGTCCACAAATGCACACCATGCTATCTACCAAAAGATTCCCCCATGGGAATAATTTAACTGGTGATTCAATGAAAGATATTTTCAATGTTGGTTTCCATTAGATGACATAAAATTTCCTTCAGAAGATGAGACCCAAAATGTATATAATTTTTAGATATTTGTACTCAAATCCTCCTGGCAGTACCATATAGTACCACTGTACATAGAACACTTTAAAATTCAGCATGGCAAGTGGGATTTCTGCAAATAACTTCAGCGTGAATAATCTCTCAGTTCAAATATTACTATTACCATATACAATTACCATATTTCATGGAATCCTTTAATGAGAAAAGGAGAAAAACCAAAACAGACATCTGGATAGTACATCTTCAAAATTAATTTCGTCAATTTGTGATTCAGTAAAGAGATAAATTTATAGAAGGATTTCAAATTGTTTAAAATGACCACACTTGGGCAAAAATAGTATTCTAGCATGGTATGCTTCTAAGAACCTATTTTGAAAACATCAAAATTATAGGCAAGTAAAAAAGAAAAAATTCCAAAATATTTAATAAATAGAATCTGCCCCTTGTTACATAAAGGAATTAAAGAGAAAAGACAAACAAATGACTGACTGCTCATATCCAAACTGTAAAATTGAGTAGAAGCCAGAAGCCTGCAGTAAATTGGACAAAAACTCCAATAAATTTGGCAAATTTCATTTGTTTCTATGTCTGTCCATTTTTCCTGTAAAAATAAGAAAAATGGCTCATTTTAACCACAATTTTCAAAAACAATCTCTCTTTCCCAATTTTTAGGAAACTTCTGCACAAAATTCCAAATTGGAATTGGACTCAAATGAGACAATAATGCTCATGCATGTGGAGAATTTTTTGACAAAGGCTCAATTGTGGACGTGTTTCAATAGTACCTTACCTAATTTCTGTTATACCGTAAAAGGGGGTTACTTTGACTCCCGGGGTAACTTTGACCACTTTTAGTTTTTCAACAAAAACTCCCAAAACTCAAAAACTATTTGACATAGAAAAATTTTGTCAATGGGCATTAAAGGCCTAATAATGAGGCTATGTAACACAAAAGAAAGATAAAAAAATTAGGCATATCTAGTAGGTTAAAAAATGAAAATTGTGACCCACAAAAAGAGCTATTATTCAAAGCCTGTTGTAGAACCCCCTCCAATTTTTTCATTTCTTGGTAAAAATAACTCCAGGTGTTGGTGCATTGTAGTAGAACTCTTCTAGTTACATATACAAATGACAAATTTTAGGAAAGTGTTATAGTTTTGCAAATGGGGGGGCACTGCCCTCAATGGGGGAACTATGACCACCTAATGTCAGCCCTGACAGGGTAATATTGACCAGCTTGGAAATTAAGTTAAGGTACCATATATAACATATTTTATGTTTGATACACCTATTAATGTTTTTTCTTCATATTTAAGACTCTACAGTCTTATATATGGTAATTTTAACTTAATTTCCAAGCCAGTCAATATTACCCTGTCAGGGCTGCTATTAGGTGGTCACATTTCCCCCATTATGGGGCAGCACCCCTCATTTGCAAAGTGCAAACTATGACACTTCCCTCAAATTTGTCATTTGCATATGTAACAAGAATAGTTCTACTACAATGCACCAAAACCTGGAGTTATTTGGAGTTATTTTGCGAAAAAATAAAATTGATTTTACCACCTAGTCAAAGAAACCCCAAAGTGGGGGGGTAACAAAGACCATCATTTTTTTTTAAATTACATCAAAACCATGAGGCAGGAGCCAGCAGTTTATAGTGAGTGAACCTAGAGTTTAGACCTGTATTTTGCATGTTTCAATTTAAGTTCAATTTAGCTAGTAAAAAATGGCATCATTTAAAAAAATGATCAAAGTAACCCCCCTTTATGGTACTTGTTTACGAACAATGCACATTTTTGCTAGCAATAGTAGTAATTTCGTAAAATTACCTACCAACTATCATTTCACCTGCAATTTTATTGGAAAATTCTGCCCATCTATGCAATATTCCAGAATTGCTCAACAAGTCCCACTGTGTTTATGACTCCAAATTGATGAGAGCCTGAATGTCTTTTGTCTAGTATTGCACCATGTAACTGTCTTTAATTTTACTGTTAACAGGTACAGGACCCATACAGCCTGGTACAGGTCTAGCATGGAAAACAAGTCTGTGACTAGAGCTTTCCTCCCATTTATGGAACATCAAGATTCAAGCTACATGATGTAGGTATGTGCACAAAAAAATTTTTCCCCTGATGATAATGACAATTATACAGCTGAAATGAGTAAATAATCTAGAATATTACCATATAAATATAAGTGGAATACAAATAAATTGGCAATAGCTATCAATTTATTTTTATTGAATTATTTTTCTATGTGAACCAATTTTTGGCACTTTTTTGAAAAAAAACTATCATTTCTAGGTTTCCTATGAGCCAATTTTAGAGATTTTAATACCATTAGAAAGCTCTTGTTGTAGGCTATTGTTTATAACTAAAATAAATCGTTTTGGTTTATACCTTGACTGCAGGTGGGTGGGGCAAACAGGTATGAATAATATATATGAATAGTATAATTTGGCCAAAAGGCTGAATTGAACAGTTCTGCAATCCGCAATACTTCGACAATCCCGCTGAAAATATCCTGAACGACATAATTACAACAAGTCAATCTAAAACGTTTCCTTAAAGATCACAAAGTTGCAGTCACGTGAGAGCGGTCAGACTGCATTATCACGTGATCAGTTGCCACTTAAGCAAAGACAAATGTTAGTGTTGACTATTTTTTGGGTAAAATTAGAGATTAGGGGTAACACGTGTACGGGACATGGTAAATGGTTTGCGGCTGCCGGCTTGTAAATGGCTTCTAATGGCCAAGGTATAGAATTCACGGCTCAAAGAAATTAAATCTCGGCTGGAAGAAATGTAATCATGGCTGGCAAATCCATAAAACCACGGTTTGAAAAATTCAGTCGCGGCTTGCCAAGTAGATATATTCCATGCCTGCAATTGGGCATTGCAGCAGCCATCCCTAGAAGTCTAGCATAGGGCTAGGCTGACTTCACTAGCACTTGATAGTCGATGAATTTCACTAGCAAGGAGATCAGGGGCTAAGTGCCGGTAAATAACTGTACCCAAATCCTAACAATGTCTTTGTAACCATAAAATTGTCCTGGTCAGTCAATTATATGCAATACACTCCTAAACTTTGAAATATGAACCAAAACAAAAAGGAATCACATAACACATAAGATCACTGAAGAAAGGAAAGCCTGGATGCACTAGGGTAAACGCAGTATATTCCAACATATAGGGTAATTCCAACACTTCTTGACTTTTTTCCTTTATATTAAGCTTTTTCTTAGTTCCATGCATTAGTTGATGGTTGAAATAGTGACATCATACTTTTGTGCACCATACTATTGCCAAAACACTAAGTCAGGGCCATCTGGCAGGAAAATGTTGAGGTTCAAAGAGAGACAGTGCGTGTCACCCAGTGAGAACATCAAAAAATGTCTCAAAGTTGATAGTTGACCTTGCTCTACCAAATAGTGATAAACTGTTTGTGTAGAAAGAATATTATGGTTTGAGACTTTTAAATACGTCTGTGAATATATAAGGAATCCTTTAAGTATACTTGGATATGCTGATTTCAAGTGGTAAAAAAATTAATAGATTAAGTTTAGAGACGGTTTTAGACACATATAAACTAATTCAGACACAGCTTGGAATTAGACACACACAGCTCGTTCCAAGCTGTGTGCAAGAATTACAATTTTCTTAATTAAAAGCCTAATAGCTCTTAATTAAAAGCCTAATCAAGTAGTGTTCAATATTCAATAGTGCTCTAATTCCAAGCTGTGTCATATTCCAATACAGCTCACACAGCGATCGGAATTTGAACACATGAGTGTTGGCATTGCAAATTAGTAGAGTTTGAAGCGCGGCCAGAATTAGTCTCACAAAATGCCGAATTTAGTCACACACAGTGTCGGAATATATTAATTTGGTAGGGTTGCATTCTAAAGGCTTATAAATAAATATGGCAACATTTTGTGACGTTTCATTGTTGCTGGCACGCAGAGCGGTGTTTTGAGAATGACGTAAAGCAAACAGAACTCAAGTTGTGCGTACGGTGTATTTTTTATAGCCATTCATTTTTTGCTACGTCCTCAAAGTGTCGGAATATACCGCGTTTACCCTACCACCTTACTGTACCACTGAACATAAACTGCAACTCAAAAATCGTCTTTTTTTTGTGGATTTGCATATTCCAGAAAGTTCTGTGCAAATAGCTTCAGAGCTTTGAATTATTATTTTTTTATAATTCTCCTAATTTTTGCAGCCTGCAAAAATTTGGCTACCTACAAGATAAAGATTTCAAACGTATGAAAATTTTGTCATGTTATAGCCACAATATATAAGAAATGAGAAGGAAAATTCCAATCCAGATAGAGTGACCAATCAGATATTTATTAGATTAATTATAATCAATTCATGTTTAATTTCCTTGTCTACTACAAGATTTAAACCAGAACCAATATCTTATGTATGATAATGCTGGTCTCCATGATACTTCACATTTCACAAGCCTAGGGTAAAGGCGGTATATTCCGACACATTAAGGACGCATCAAGAAATGAAAAACTATAAAAAATAACCGTATGCGTTACTCAAGTTCTGTTTGCTTTACGTGACTCTCAAAACACCGTACTATGCGCCAGCAACAATGAAACGTCACAAAATGTTGCCATATTTATTTAAAAGCCTTTAGAATGCAAACCTACCAAATCCCTATATTCCGACACTGTGTGTGACTATATTTGGCACGTGGTGAGACGTATTCCGACCGCGCTTCAAATTGTACCAATAAGTAATTCCGACATCCACGTGTTCGAATTCCGATTGCTGTGTGAGCTGTATTGGAATACAACACAGCTTTGAATTAGAACACTATTGAATATTGAGCACTACTTAATTAGGCTTTTAATTAACAGTTAGGTATTAAGCTTTTAATTAAGAAAATTTTAATTTTTGCACACAGCTTGCAACGAGCTGTGTGTGTCTAATTCAAGTTGTGTCGGAATTAGTTTTTATGTGTCTAAATCTGTTTCTCAACTTAATCATATATTAATTTATTTACCACTTAAAATCAGCAAATACAAGTATACTTAAAGGATTCCTAATATATTCACAGACGTATTTAAAAGCCTCAAACCATAATATTCTTTCTACACAAAGTTTATCACTATTTGGTACCAGGTCTCATAGTGTGGCACGAGAGTCGTTGTAAAATTTATCTCAAGGTCATCTGGTCGTTGAACAACCGCATGCCAGTCGATAGTCGATAGGATTTATGCAGTCGATATACGCGCAAATGTATGACATCACTATTTCAACCATCAACGAACGCATGGAACTAAAACAAAGCTTAATATAAAGGAAAAACTAGAGAGGTGTCGGAATTACCCATGATGTCGGAATAGGTATACTGCGTTTACCCTACTTATAGGATCTAAAAATGAACTGGAAAGAGGATTAATTTTAAAAAGTCTTGACTTTATTAGTATTATGCAGGTAGGTAGGCAGTAAGCTAGCTAGCTAGGCTACAGGTGCAGTTAGAAACATTCAAATGTGGATTCTCCTTCATTAGGCCTAGTAGGTAGCTAAGTTGGTAATATTCAATATCAGAACCAAAAACTTTGTAACATCCTATTACAATTCACTACAATTTTTTACAAAGATGCATTTCTCACCTCTAATTTAGCTTCCATTTCTTGCTGAATTTTTTTATGGTTCATTTCATCATTGCTTTTTGTTCCGTTCATGGAGTACAGGTTTGGCACAGATGTATGGGGTGGTGGTGTTGGTGTATGCTTTACTCCAACGTCGCTTTGCTTCAGTAACCTTAATTTGGTAACACGATTATTATTCAAAGTGCTATTCAGCTCTTCTTTATTTTCAATATGAACGGTAGGATCTGTTGACTCGGATAGGGTGGCGTAGATTGATTTTGACGTGCTTTCTGATTTTGACATGCTAATCGAATCGCCATTATAGCCTTTTTCCGACTCAAATGAGTCATCCACCTCCTTCTTTGTTTCGTTTTCGCAATCCATTATGCTGAATTTAATCGGCAAAACCATGGAGACTTTTCCTTACGTAAAATTGTGCATAAATAATGTTTGATGACAATGCAAAGTAGTCTAGCGCCTGCTGTTTTCAGATTTGGCGGGATCCGTAAGAAAGCAGCTCTTTTTTCTTTGAAATCGCCGCGCAGTAGTAAGGCTGACACTTGTCCCACTGAATATGAAGACCCATTACACACTAAAAAAATTGCACTAGTTTTCGATAAATTTTAACAGCTTACAAATTCACAGGACTTACGGCATTCTCTAGTATTTATTTATTCTGTATATTGAAATTGTAGGAGCGGGTCCCAGTAGCCCAACGGCAGAACTGGTCGTAGTTGTGCTGCACAGAACGCTTTCACTGGCCGGAATGTTAATATAGTATTTAGGAAAATCACGTGCGTGACTTAGGTTTAATCTTATGAGCGGGTGATTGCGACGCCAAGAAGGAGACCACTTCAAGCAGGAGTCCTCTTAGGGTGGAGACAAGCCAAGGAAGAAACAATGCCAAGAAGGAGACTAAGCTGAGCGACGAATCCTCTCGCGAGAAGATCGCACCATGAGAAGAACACGTAGGGAGGAGACCACGTCAGGAAGAAGACCAAAACAGACCAGGCCTAAAGTATTGGTGACCAATCACACCTGATAAAGCCAACTACGAAAAGGAGATAGCCATGTAGCACCATATCGAACCCGGTGGAAGTCGAATAGCAATTTCAAATATCGTCAGTCATGAAAAGATCCGGTCAAATGACACGATTTTAGTTCTTCTGTGAACAAGGCACGAAAAGGAAAAGAATAGGCGACAGGCCACATCATGCCTACACTTCAGCGCTGAGATCACTATGTTATAGTATAGAATAGAATAGAAGTGTCGGCGTTGAGGAAATAGGCCCATGGCCTGTTGCCGATTCTTGAACTTTTCGTGACTTGATTCACAAGGGATCCGGCCTTTGGAACCCGATCTTTCCATAGC